AGGGTTTAGGGGTTTAGTTAGGGGTTTAGGGGTCCAGGGTTAGGGTTTAGGGTACCTGGGCGACGCTTATCCAAAAATTAACAACAACTAGTACTACAGAACCCTCGCTTCACTATGTCGGTACCTGGGACCCTTTGGGCTTGGACAGGGAGAGCTGTCCCTCTCTCCATTGACGGAAGAAACGGTGCATGACGGTGAACGGCAGGAGCAGCGGGAAGCGGACTTCCGTAGGTGGGGCCACCGCCATCGCATGAGTGTCCCCCGACGGCGGGTCTACCGTCAGGTCGAGGATCCGGGGAAGATAAGACCAGATTGCTTCCAGCCCCCAGGTGCGCCATTGCCGAAACAGCGACAGCCATGCAATCCCATACCGTTGAAGGACTTGACCATCGGACCTGAAGCCATCCTTCCACTGCCCATAGTATATATAGATATCTCGAACTAGGCAAACTTGCCGCGCACCCAACGACCGTCATCAGCCTGGACCAGCCCCACATGTTGATCAGCCACCTCTGGTAGGGGCTCCGGAAGGAGCTCGTCCCCAGACTCTTCCGCAGCTGCATCACTCACAGCCTCCTGGGCCAGCATAAGCTCCATGACCTCCGTCCCAAACTGTTGCTCCACATCTTTCTGGCTAAGCTCTCCCCTTCTCCAGAGGTTTAGGGTTTAGGGCCTTGAACTGTTGAGCGCCTCTAGTAGGGTGGCCTACCAGGGGCTGAGGGTCAGGGCGCTTGGGATTTATGCTATGTTGTAGAGGTCAAGGAATTGTTCTGCACGGTTGAGGTAGGGTTTGCGTATGTCTAAGTTTAAATCGTTGTCTAGGCCAAGTTTGTCGTAATCTAGACGATGCAGCCCGCAAAAGTCGCAGCCTTAACCACTACCCTTACGCAGCAAATAGTCCCAGAAGCCCTTATTTATGTACTATGGTCTTCGTAGCTGAACCCTCCCCAAATTATCCCTTGCAAGCACCCTAAAACAGCACAAAACCCTGGCCCTAAACCCTAAACCCCCAAGCCCTAAACACCCTGAAAATCCGAACACATTCTATCCCAGCGGTCTGCACCTTTGAGCACGAGCATCTGTATTTGCGAAGGTCCAGACCTGGGCGGCAACGAAGGACGTATTAGTAGCTTCTCGCCCAAAAGTGTTTCCGCAGAATGGGGAGGGTTCTACGCGACGTCTGTTTTTCTTCAAAGGCAGGTCATCTGCGCACTTCCAAAAATGCCATGGCCCGATGGACTCTGCAATAAAGTATCTGTCAGAAGTGACCCACACGGCTGAGCTGAGAAGCTTTCTTAGTTATTATTGTTTCCTGGCTCGGATACTATGACAATATGATTGAAATGATCCACAGGCCGGCGTCAACGATGGTCATGTTTTTAAAAGTCGTCCGGATCAGACATAGCCGCCCCTTCTTCAACGGCCTCCTCTTCTGCATCAGCGTCGTCCAAAGCCGAACCTTTTCCGCGAGAAGGAAGCCTACTCTTCAACTTCTTCGGAGGCGACTCCTCGGCCGCAGACTCCTTCCCACGCACCTTTGCGGCCTTGGCGTTGGGCGACGACTTGATGGACGACGATGCCTTCTTGGGCGATGGCGACGGCTTTGGCGATGCCTTCGCCTTGACGGGCGATGTCTTCTCGGCAGACTTCGTCATCTTTGGCGAACCCGGCGAGCCTTTGACACGGCGCCTGCGCCTGGGGGTCGGTGTGTGGGGCTCCTCGCTCTCCTCCTGCTCCTCAACCTTCTTCATCTTGGGCTTGCTCTTTTTCTGGCTGCCCGCGGCCGCGCTCATAGACATGTTGTCCCCCGGGCATTCCTTCAAGAACATTGGAGCATCCAAATCCTGGATGCCCCCCAGCTCCTTCACAAGATCCGGGATGGACCTCTGCAAGGTTCCTCGCTTCACCTTGGCACTCTCGTAGACGTGCCCCGACACGATGTGGGTCTTCGTGGACGCCAGCTCCTCAGGCAAATCGATGGACTGCTCGGAAAGCCCATTTTTGACGACGTACTGCAACTTGTACGTGTCACCCTCCTTCCGGATGGACCAGTACGAGTTCGCGCTGTCCTTCCAGAAGTCCTGAGGCCAACGGAGCACCAAGACCACAACGTCCAGAACAGAACAGAATCGACCTATGATTCACGTGATTAATAAAGGCGAGGCTTACTACTGAACTCGGATGGAGACTTGCTGCTTGTAGACTATCTGCAAGATCGAAGGAAGACGACGGCATCACTCGGCAAATGACAAGCTATCACACGCGCAGCTGCACGTCAACCCAGCTAACTCACAGTCGCAGTACGAGTAAACACGAAGGCAAAAACTGCAGAGCTAGAAAAAGTCAACGTGCAACCATGCAACAGGTTTCGTGGGAGATGAACAAAGAGCTGTAATTTGAAATTCTTGCTAAAGGAACGCGTGGCCCTCATATTAATTCCACGGTTTTTTGGGGCTGTTACTGAAACACAAGTTGGAACAAATAATTTGCAGGATGCATTCACACTTCAATGAACTGCTGCGCCTCCACCGTCTGAGTATCCCGACATGGGAAGCCCTGGCCCCGCTTGCCGTACTTCTCGAAGCGGTCACGAAAGCAGGTGATGAGCTTAGCTTTCACCTTCGTTGGCACTGCCGACTTGACTTGCATATGCACCAACCATCCGAGGATCTCCGCTATCTTGATCTTAGCCATCTTGGATTGCTGCCTCAACCATCCGGCAAGCTCAGGGCTAAGCTCTCCGAGAAACTCCAGCAAAAGCGGCTTGGAACAGGCATCGATCTTGTTGCAGTAGGCAGGGATCCTCAACCCTTCGCCTTCGCCTTCAGACTCGTTGTCCTCTGTCCAAGCACCGGATTTGACCCAGTTCAAGATGCTTGCGCATGCTGCAGGATGTTCCTTTAACCAGTCGGTTAACTCATCCAAATAGCGAGCCTGTCCGGATTTCTGGGTCAATGCTGCTGCATTCTGAAGGGCGCGCTTCTCCTGGGCTTCCTGTTTGACGGCCGTCTTCGACTTCTTCGTCTTCGCCATTGCCACTCAGAAGTGGCAGGCCGCGGCCACCCAAGTGGCACTCACGCTAAAATGCCCGATGCTCTTTGAACACAAATCAACACCGCATCAGTCACACAGCAGATCACTGAGACGACATGATGCCAATGGTTCAGAATGGCAACAGTGACATGACGGGCACTGCGTCTGCACAACAGACAGTCAGTCATCAACACCCGCAGGCTATCGGCTATAAATCATTCTTTCTGTGCCTGTGTCGCTCTGAGCACCCTGCATTTGCACAGCGGGATCTCGGAGCGGGATGTCGGGATTGCCTTGTCCCCAGCTCGACTCGAACTACTGCTTCGGATGACTCTCTCTAGTGCTTCGGTTCTGTCAGCACTTCTCAACCGAACATTGCTACCGAGCTAAGTCCGGCTAAGGCTAGAAGGTGACNNACTAGACTGGTATCCCTGTGACCCGTAGCAATGTACTGCCGTGAATTGTTGGCAAGCAGGCACAAAGCTTGAATGTCTAGTCGTATTTCAATAATTTCTGATAAACAATCCTGGACGAAAAAAGGTGTCCGCAACTCATCTTCTGGGCAATGAAGTAAAGTTAAAACCGGAGCTGGACATGCTCTCAAAGAATGCTACTAAAGCTACGTCCGGCTAGCACTTTCAGGAAAACGGAAACACGGATACCTCAGCTGATTCAGCCCCAAGGTTTGTGCTGAATACACCGCAGTTCCAGAGCTCGGGACTACCATGTAATCGCTGCCCCTAATATTAAAGGCCTCTGCAAGATTAAACCTCGGATTTGGCGGATTTGGGCCCGATCGCATCTTTAAACCAAAAAGAAAAATACGGCGGGGGCCTAGTTGTGTTTTAGTTTGCATAGAACCAAGAGGACACTAGTACTAAACCAAACAGACCAGGGCTTTAGGGCTTAGGATTTAAGGCAAAGGGCCTAAGGCTTTCGGGCTTCGGGGCTTAAGGCTCAGGGCTGAAGGCTTTAAGGCTTAAGGGCTCAGGCCTTCAGATTGGGCGCTCAGGTGTTAAGGCTTAAGCCAGGCTTAGGGCTTAGGGTTTAAGGCTGTAGGGCTAAGGGCTTTAGGGCTTAGGCCTTCAGGCTGAAGCCGTAGGGCTTCATGGATATTCATTTTTATTTTCTCCAATCCCTGATGGGGGTCCCTTTAAAATTGGAGGAGATCCCTTTTATCTGATCATATTCCTGATGCACTGCTCCGGTAACCCTTCATTGGTTCATGTGAAGCGCAAGCGAGCATCAACTTGGCCGCCGGGCTTTGACGAGAAGGCAACATCCGCCTGCAGAGCGGGATGATTGTCGGAGACTGACTGAAACCCAATCGACCAAAGCCCTGTACTCGCACAGAGTAATACCCCCCAAATAAAGAATCATTCTTGCCGGGAAAAACCTGGGCCTCTTGCAGTCAGGGATGTAGGATTTACTAGTGACTGGGACTGTTTCACTTATAACTTGTTCAGCTTTTTCCTGCTGTCTAGAGGGCAGCTGCAGACTATCGCATCGCGTAGGATACACTACACAGCCGTGTCGTTTCTGGTTTGGTTGCTCAGGGGTGTTCGCTCCGGCGGCTGAAAATAACTTTGAATCTCTAGACCCCTGCTAAAAATGGTATTCTGGGAATTCGAACAACAACCGTGCTCAATGTCTAACTGGCAACCAGCTCACACAAGCCCACTAAATCCCACGCCTACACCGGAACAAACTTTACACGCAGGCCAAACCTCACTCGTTCCTGGACCTTACGCAAGAATCCTTGCTGATGATCTGGCGCCTCACCCAATCAATAAAGCCGAGCACATGAAATACTTAGTGACGGCCAAGTGATGATGTGCCCCGTCTGCCTTTGAGCTGATTGCAAGAACGTCCAACAGTTCAAAAGCCCACACACACACACACAGAAACCCTGATGCGTACTAAAAAGCCTTGCGAAGGAACCTCGGTCTTGTACACATTTTGTCTTTTCAGCTGAGATCGTCGAAGGACCATGGACACTCCACAGGATGCAACGACTCGTGTCGCCGCCACACTGCGACCAAGAGCTCTCGCACGATTGGAGCATCCTTGCCAGCCGCACCCCAGCTTCGTGACAGGCTCCAGCCGTAGCGTCCAAAGATTCGCCAACAGCCGTTGAACGAGTCGCGGTATGCACGGTAGTGCCCCTTTGGCAGCAGCTGTTGGACATGCTCGACGGCCCAAGATCGGTCACTTTGGAACTGGACTGGTTTGCGACGGACTTTGGGCGGAACCTTGCTGACGCTGCTTCTGAGCGCCCTTATGGTCTTCACGACCGAAGCAGTTCTCTTCTCGGACGCCTTTGCAGTCTTGAGGGCATCGTCTACGGTCTTTGTGTCCTCCTTTGACATGATGACTTCCTTGAAAAAAGGAAGGTCAAGCAGATCCAGCAACTCTGCAGTGTCTCCGTGGCGAGACTGCCGAGTTTGCAGCCCCTTTTCAAGAATGTCTGCAGCGTCTTCAGGCTGGCACGCAAGTGTCCGTTCCACGCTCTCCTTCATGAGAGAGCCGAGGTTGGAAGCATCATCCGACCCTGCAGGAGTGAACCCAAGCTCTTCCTTCAGCAAGAGCTTCATGATGTTCTCGGGTATGTCTAAGAATGCGTCCTCTGCGTTGTACCTGGGCTGTTATAATGTGTGATTTGAGGGGCCCGCTCCCGATTACAACTCTTGCTCCTTTTAGTTCTCAGAACACGCCAAGATCAACGACTGCTTTGAAGTCTCAGGCACTGCAGCAGTGGCACGGAGGTTGACAGCCGGTCCCTCGCTGCAAGCAGCAGAAAAGCATCTTCACGAGCAAGCCCAGTCTTCACGTAGAAGTGCATCGGGCTCACCCCCGCTGTCGGATGGACGCACCACTCATCAAAATCAAGGACCTGACACCAGTCGATGGTCTCCCTCGTGATGGGCATCTTGATGTTCCAGCCGTTCCTTTGCTCCTCCACCTCCAAACAGAGGACTCCGGCGTCACTCGGCCATGGTCCCATGGACAGTTTCGGCACTTTCCAGGTCACATGCCGCACCAAGAGACCAGCTTTCAGAAAGCAGCTTCTCCAAGATTGGCTCCTGCGATTCGACATGCAACAGTCGGACAGACTGTAACCCCTGTGTACAAGTCCGGGGCTTAGGTTGTTTTAGATTCCTGGTTCTGGGACCCCTCCGAAAGGCTTCTTTTGAAACACAAACGCCCTCTCTGTAACCTTGTCTACACTAATAAACCAACGGCGACTTCGCACTTCTGCACAACTTGCCACTGAACCATCAAGCCGAGTCAAACGACACATATTCCTTTTCTGGGTGGGTGGGTGGGTAATTATGGGCTCAAAGGCCTTGGGGATGTGCTTGTTTTGAAGTTAAAGACCTAAGCCCTATAACCCCTAAACTTCGAACCCTAACACCCCAAATTCCCCTGAACCCTATGGGCCCGAAGCCCGAAAGTCGTCACTAAAGCAGCATNNGTCACACAGCATTTGAAAAACATGTCACTCAAGTACGGCAAGAAGTTATTATTTACCGAAACTACAAGCGATGTGTTTTCTCTGAACCAAGTTATCGTTTCATGGGGACATATACACATACTACCAGGAATTCAATAACAACTTGTTCGCATCACAACTAGCTGATCTGCATAAACTAAGACACCTATACATGACATATAGGCGTTACCACTTGAATTGGAGGCTCAGGGACTCACGCCCAGAACTAGCCGGCAACACAGCACGCATCTACTGGTCTTTGCCCACTCTCAATTTCCGTCTATCAGACTCAGACACCACAGATAGGCATGACACACCATTAATTTCATCCAAGTTTCAGCTCTGCCATGTTCTGCTTCTCCCGCACAGCCTTCACCAGCAGAGTCATCTCACACGCCACCATTGGCATGCCCGCCTGTGTCAGGGAGGTCCAGTTCTGCCGTGTGGTAACCTGCTTCAGCTCAGGATGGGCTGCCCGATGGGCGATGTGGTACAGGCTGGACGGCCACTTGATGTTGGGCAGGGCAGTGTCCGTGGCGATCTCATCATAGCCGCTGGCTGCCAGGACACCTGTGAAGCTCAGGCATTGCCAAGCGTGCACATCCGGCATTTCGTGTGCCTGATTAGCCGTCTTTTCCTGGGCTCTGGCCTTGCCAAAGCCTTCTTCGTTGAGAGTGATTGCGAAGCCATGGAAGATGTTGTAAACCAGTTCAGTGACTTCCTTGCTCAATTGCCAGCTGCTCCGCTCCAGTGCACGCACGATGTCTTTCATGATCTGAAGTTGGAAGGGCGACCGCGCCACAAATGTTCTGCAGAACTTCGTGCGCGTTGCCTCTGCCGCCTTGTGCGCCTGGTAGCTCTCGTAGAGGTCGACGAGAGCTACCAATCTTTCCGACTCGTTGTCAGACAGGAACCGCGCAAGTGCCTGTGGGAAGAGGAACATTGCGACGCTGGCGTTCAGAAGTTTGTGCCTGACGAGGGTCAGCGTCATATCGAAGAGCCGGCTCCAGCGTCTGTCCTGCAGACACACCAGTGGGTCCTCGGCTTTCAACTTCTGCACGAAGCGGCTGCGCAGCTTGGCCCCGAACCAGAGCCCCTGTGCCTCCCAGGTGTCCGGGGCCATCAACTGCTCGAAGACCTTCTGGACGGTCTGCAGGCTGGTGGACCCTCTTGCTTCTTGCAAGAGCATCTTGGCCGTCCCTTCATGGCCATCCTTTGCCAGGACCCGTGTCCTGTGCAATTCCTCTGACAGGGGCTTGCTCAGGCAGTACCACGCATCAATGTCAGAGACTAGCTCGTTGTTAAGCAAAGCCATGGTCACCACATGCATTTTGTTCTTGCAGCGGGCATAGAGGGAGGCTTTAGTGAAGCCCGCCATTGTTTCGGACACCTCTTCAGCTGGCAGCGCATCGGCCGAGGCATACTTCGGGGCGGTCTTGGTGTGCAGGTACCCCGTTTTGACGCCAAAGCCTCACCACTCTTATTTGGGGGCACCACTTCGGACGAGAACTACAACCGTTACCACTTCAGGGTAGCATCAAAGAACGAATGAATTGCTGATGCACAGTCGTGGCTCTTATCAACAACACCAAAAGAAGCCCAAGTTCGCTTCGTCTTTGGCCCCACCCTTGATGGAAGTTATCCCATCTCGATAACTGAGATGGGCCATGGGCATGCAGGAATCTGGCGCGCCGCAGTCGTTCGTGCGCTGCTTCAACCGTCATCTCCTTGATGGAGCAGATAACGTAAATTCTAGTAATATTGCTATTGGGACGCTCGGCTTTCACGGGTCGGAGGCAGGTAGCATCAGTCTAGGATGTTGCCCCGGTGACTTGTGTAGGATCCCCGGCCCAACGATGCCATGGCCCCAACTACTCAACCCAGAACTTAATTAAGCTCGCACCCAGAACCCAGACTTGAATTCTAAGCCGCCCCGAGATGCCGAATTTCAAACGAAGCTGAACCCGAATACTGAATTCTGAAGAGTCCTGAGGAGGTGTTTTCGGGGTTTTTGCTTTGGAGGATGTGGGGGTTTTCACTCATCACGGAAGGACGCAACCCATGGTTCACAGGTCAGGGTTGGTGTGCAAATGTAACAATCAGACGTGGCTCCGCTTCTGTGACGCCTGCTTCACGCGCGATCTGTGGCAGGAAATGCCGGATGAGCACGCCACCCTCGGAGTCGGGCACTGCCGCTAGTGTCTGCAGGTAGTCCGAGCACTCTTCCTGCAGACACCTGAGCGTGAAGCCGGATTATTATTATAGTGACACTGCCTTAGTAACTACGATGTATTATTATTTAGTAATATGCCGCAATGCATGGTTGTGGGCAGTGGGGTGTATGGGTACTTAATTAATGCCTCATCTCAAGTTGAGGAATTCTTGCGGAGCCCTTGTCAAAAACCGAACTAAGACTTAAGTAATCCTGTAGCCAGGAAGCCTGAACCAGCGGCAATTCTGCCACGGTCCGCGGGTGAAATTCAGCACCTGCTCCGCCACAACGAGAGCAGCTCTCAACCCAGGGATGTGGTTCGAGCTGTTCTCCAGCTCGCGGGCTAAGCGGTGTCTTGGCTCGTAGAAAGCCACCATGCGAAGCTGAAGCTTCCACTGGCAATACTGTAGTGCAGCCTGCGTGTCCGGCCCGGCGTCGCTTGTCACACAGAAAACTGGCAGCGCTCGAAGGTCCTCAGCCTCCTGCGCATCCTTGGCCCTGAACTGCATGAGGCCACCGCCTTGGATGGTTACAACTCTGGGCTTTCAAGTTATTTATTGCCCATCCTTAAACCCTGAAGCTCTAAGTCCGTATTTATTACCAGGCTTAACTTAAGCCCCAAACCCAAACCTTAGATTCCTGAGCCTTATAAGCCCCTAAAACCCTCAGGTTTTAGCCTACTTAAAGCCCAAAGCCCAAAACTGAAGCCTTATGTCCTAAAGCCTAGAACCCAAACCTTTGCTTTAAACGTGGTCCTGATAGCACTACTTTTGTGTTTCTTGCCTCTGAGAAAACTCATAACCTTCCTAGGCCCGCCTTAACTGAATCTTATCCGTCAACTTCCCGCTTGCCGGAGTGTAACTCAAAGTAATACTCGGGGACTGCGTAAGGTTGTCTTGTGTTTCACGAAGAACTTGTCTGCAAGAACGGTTATCTGAATTAGGAATCGGGGAACCACTTTATGTATAACTAAATTGCTTTGGATTGCCAGGGGTCCAGATGCCTGATTCAAAAACTCGACATGCAGATTTCAAGGAAGGGGGAGGGCCCCTTTAAAGCCTTTTAACTAGGGAAAAGGAATCAAAGCAAACATGAATAAAGCCAATGATGAATTGTAGACCAAGGACCAAGAGCTGGAAACATGGCACGAACAGTGCTGTCCAGGCCCAGCAACTGTTCGTAGGTCGGAATGCGCTCGACTTTGGCCACAACAGGACCAATCTCAGCAGCCTCAGCATGGACGGCCACCTCCCGCAGCTGCCCAAGGAAAGTGGCCGTGCTAGTGTCTAGACGGCCACTTTCCGCAGCTGATGGCTGCGAGTCCCTGTCTGGGAGGCGGTACGTGGTGTCCTTGAGGCGGAGGGGCGGTGCCCACGCAGCGCGCCTGGTCAAGCCATCCATGACGGCGTACGTCACCCTCTTGCGGCCGCCGATGCGTCCTCCATCGAAGGATACGTGGATCATTGAAGAGGCACTGAACTGCCGGCGGGCACTCTGGAGGTATTGTGACCTCTCCTGCTTCCGCTGCAGCAAACGGACATGCTGGCGGCTAGCAGCCGCCTGCACCCGAAAAGCAGTTTTCTCCTTGGCGGACACACCTTTTTTGTTCTTCCCTCGTTGTTCCCTGGCTTTCGAAAGAAGGGCACTCAAGCGAGCATGTCTCGCATTGGGATCTCTCATATCCACTTTCTCCAAGCTGAAGACGTCAGCTTCCAGCAACATGCGCCGCATTTCTGCCACATGCAGTCCAGTCTCCACCAAGGGCCACAGGCCCTCGATGAGGTCAGCAACCAACCATTGCAGACTCTTCCATGGCCACATTTTCTTCAACACCTGCGAAATAGACAAAGACGAACGTTGCAGGTCTTCTGGAATCTTCCTCTTCTCGGCCCTCATTCGTTCCTTGTACGCAGAGCGGCAGGTGACTTGACTTAAGTCAATCTTCGCACGAGCCACAATGATGGACTGGGCACCGTTGTTCACTCGTATGCGGGCCTCTGCCGGGAGATACTTCAGCAGCAGCATGTCCAAAAACTCACCACACTTTGCTTCATGCTTGGTCAGAAGTGCCATCAAGTGTATTGTGAAGCGTGTGGAAATGAACCTGTCGTGCGCCACATAGTCCACCAGGGCCTCCGGCAGTTTTGCACCCTGCGGGTACAACACATCGGGATGGTCGCGGTCTGTGTGCAGCAGCTTCTTCATGGAAGGCAGCCAGACCTGATTCATCTTCCGCGATGCATTTTGCCTGTCTTGCTTGACCAGAGGCTGCAGCTGGAAAAAGAAGCGACAGTCGCCTGTCTGAGCCCACTGAAGTTGTATGATGGTCTGTCCCATGTCCTTGAAATTTCCTCTCAAATCTGGATACTTGATCACTCTGTGTTTCCGAAAGTCCGCGAGCCACTCCAACCGGACACTGGACTTGGAAATCTTTGTGTAAACGAAGAGAGCAGCGTCTCCCTGACCAGCAGATGGGCGGACATCTCGAAAAACGTGATGCTTCAGAATCTTGGCGACCCACGTCGACTCATCTGTGCCATGGGTCAAGAACCCTTTGCCTGCGTCATCAAACCGCAGCTGCAGGGTCCGTGATGCTTCTGGCCCGCAGGGATGGACGATGACCTCGCCCGTTAACGTATGAGAAACAAAGGGGATTTCACCCCAGCTTTCCAGGTGCACATGATGCCGGTGCTGCACCTCCTCACAGTCCGTGACACGTGGATCCGGCGGTGCAGCCATGCCTATTCTACAATCCAACCCAGAGGATGAAATTACCACGTGTCGTCCTAGTCGTTACCTACCTTCACCTACAGTCGGGTCTGTCTGTGAGGTCCCACCGGGCNNGCATAGAGCTTCTTAGGATGGCGGCGGCTGCATTTCCTCTGACCTTGGACCAAAAACTGTCTTGCGACACTGGTGAGCTCGAAGACTGCAGCAGCCACAACAAGAGTCTTAACCGTGCTTCCTGCAGCAATGACCAGCGAAACTTTGCACTCAAACAATGGACATGCTTCCCCATTTAGAAACGCTTGTGTTGAAGCCAGTCAGGCCTTGAAAGCACGGCCGCAGAAGGACAGAAGAACGGTGCCAGGACGTGAAGATGCCTGGACATAGCAATTTGGCCCAGAGATCAGTCAGAAAGCCTGCCCCAGAAAATCGATGAAGCAAGGAACAAAGCCAGCAAGGTACTTATCCCTGGAATCAGCTTGTCTGGGCAAAACGGTACTGTCGTAGAGACGTTGTCATTAGTCTGAATGAAGACATATCAGACTCTCCTAATTTGCACTCTGTCGTCTCTCTAGACAATAGAGCTCTAGGTTCGTGCCGCTATGACAAAGCTGGGTGAACTTGCCGAAAGGGTCTTAAATGACTAAGGAAAGCTCTTGACTTGGAATAATAGGTCCTAGAGGGGCATCTCCACCTTGGGCGACCGCATCTGTGCGTGCTTGCAGCACTCTGCCTCGATCGAGACACCTGAGTGTTCAGCCGGCCAGCACTCAGAAGCATTTCTGAATCTTTACTAAAGGATGCATTACGGGGCTTACCAGGAGGCCTTTTCCAAGGTCAACAAGGGCCTTCCACGAAGCTTAGAACAGGACCTTTGCGAACCCCGGAACAAGCCTTTGCGAACCCTTGAACAGGCCTTTGCGAACCCTAGTACAGCCTTTGGCAAGCCTGGCCAGAAGCCTTTCTCAGGGCTGGCCGGGGCATTCGGATTACCCTCTGCCAAGACTAGTTAGAATTAGACTGTGAATACTCTCCAAACTGATACTGAACACGAACCTTCCCGAACCTCACCCAGCCTGGCCCGCGAACCTTCCCGAATAAGCGCGAAGCTTCCCGAACCTGGCCCACGAGGGTTCCCGAACCTGGCCCGCGAAGGTTCCCGAGCCTAGCCCACGAAGGTTCCCGAATGCAGTCTGCGAACCTCCTCAAACCTCCGCCCCCGCCGGTCATGCAGTCGACCTAGAGAACAGAAACCACAAGTCTAAGTCTGTATGGGTCTGCATGCACCATCAGAGCGCTATCTGTCGTTTGCCCTCATTCCAGGACTCAGCAAAACTGTCTTATGCAAGTTGGCTTGGACCAGAAAATCCTTCTGGTCATTGATCAGACTCATCGTGCATTACTTAACATTTCTCTCGGACACCTTGGATGGCAACCCAGCCAATGTCTGAGGCGAGGGCTCATGAGCTGACCGTGAGCGGTGTTCCGACCTGCCAGGACACTCATGCACCACTGTCCGGACAAGTCACTC